GCAGGGATCTGATGGTCGGCGGTTTTCTGTCCATTCCCGGCAATCATTGGGTGTGGCAAACCTTGAAGAAGGATGGCTGGAAATTATGCTTGATCGTCGTCTGGTAAAAGATGACGGGCGTGGTCTTGGACAAGGAGTGAAGGATAATCGTGTAATGAATGTGGTCTTCCACATCACTGTAGAATCCAACATTTCCTCCACTTCAAATTTAGTATCTGGTTCTTTACCTCTTAACCCCTCTCTTTTTTCTCACTGTGTTGGTGCACACCTGAACTATCCATTACATGCATTCATCGCTAAGAAGTCGCAGGAGGTATCTGTGCAGCCACCGCCTAGATATTTTTCTCCCCTGGCGGCTCCCTTGCCATGTGATTTGCATATAGTGAACTTCAAGGTTCCCAAGCCTTTAAAATTCTTACAGCGACCACCTGAAGACTTTCGATTTGCTCTAATTTTGCACAGGAGACATTGGGATTCTTCATACGACAGAAATGGAAGATCACGGTGCAGTAATCTGGCCAATGAGTCGGTGAATATCTTTAGCATGTTCAAGACCCCTGCTGTTTTGAAGGTTAAAGCAACTTCCTTGAATCTTTTGCATGATGACGCGGAGATGCTGGGTTTAACAGAGCAGTTTGCAGATCTTTCGCAAGAGGGACAGGTTGACATATCTCCGATGGAAATTCAAGCCTACAAGTTGGAGCTCCGACCACAACAGTTCTAGACACTCGTAAATCAGCCACCATTGCAGCTGATTTGAACTGGGTAAAATTCCGATGAACTAATTTTTGCTACTGCTTAACTACTAACAGGGATGAATTGTTTCTGTCTAAACTGCCTTCTTATTTGCGGCGTTGAAGGTTGGGCCAGGCAAGAAATTTTCGGTTGGAAGTTAAGAGAAGTTGCACCCACCGCTTGAGGAAGCTTGGGGTGGGGTTTGCGTAAATGGCAATTGTTTTTTTAATGGATGGGTTTTTATTTTTTAACATGTGCGGCGTCTTTTTTGATCGGGGGAGTTACTGTGGTATCTGTTCAGATGTTTCTGAAACAAAAAGGCCTGCCACTCTCATGGGCTCAGGGAGACGGGGGCTAGAGATAAATGTAAATACTAAATATTCATTACTCATTTATTGGAAGACACACCGGCACCGCTGCTGAATCGGTGTATTCTTCTTTCCGATCATCGATGCAAAATAGTAGAATCAGCAACGAGAGACAAGTTTTTAGTTTGTCCGCCCTTTGATCCGTTGCCAATTCTCAAGTGCGGTTTCATGGATTAGAGCTTGCTGAATTGTGTTCATCCAAATCACCAAATTTTCGATGAGGATTTTGACCATGCAGGATGTTTATGTTTATCATCATACTACTTAGTTAAAATTATATTAGGATTTTGTGCAATATAATATGATTATCGGGTTTAATTGGCAGTACCTTTTTCCACCTTTTTTTTCCCCCCTCATTTGTAAGGTTTGAATCCTTAATCTTACTTAAGAAAGATCAAATCCCTTCTATTGAACCGAATCACTAGTTAAAATTATATTAGGATTTTGTGCAATAATATGATTATCGGGTTTAATTGGCAGTACCTTTTTCCACCATCCCCTCATTTGTTTTGAATCTCATTTGTAAGGTTTGAATCCTTAATCTTAAGAAAGATCAAATCCCTTCTATTGAACCGAATCACTGTCAGTTATATAGCTTTATGAATCATTATGGATTTATAATATAACATCGAATCCGAGATTAATAAAATCATCTGTTTTCTGTTGGGTTGCCGCCTATTTCAGATAAACTAGTTGGCCAATATCTGTAAGATTTGTTGTAATCTTTTTTTTATTTTTGGCTGCGTAATTCCTATTATTTTTAAACTGTGAACGACATAATTGTTTCTGAAGTTATTTATCTTGTTTAAAGATATTAAACATGCATGGAGACTTCAACTAGCCAATATCAATATAAATTTTAAAATAAGTTTTATTTTTAAACCATGAATAGAATAATTCAATTCTTAAGCTCAAATATATAATTGTTGGACAGTAAACATTTAACCGAGCAAAGCAAAAATTTGAATGTTGTTTTGTTCTATTGGCCATTGGGTGCTAAACTCAACTCCCATTAGTTGTTTACATGAATAAGTAAATATATTGAAACTATCAACATAATTGGGTCTAGTGGGAGGATTAGTTCCTCAAACATAGCGAACTGAGGTTCAAATCTGTTAAGAAAGATACCTATGTTTAATACCTGATAATATTTCAAAGAAAATTGCTCTATGAAAATAGTTATGCTCAGTAAAAATCATATGCAGACAGAAACTAATCCAGTTATTGCACTTTGGGCCCATACGGGTTTCAATTGGGTTTGGGCTGAATTCCAACCCGGTTCTACCCGCACTTCAGCAAGTACCAAGCCCTCTTCAATAATACAAATTTGATAATCAATGTTGATGGCCTTCTTTCTCTACTCTTTTGGAGAAAGATGAGTCTTCTTTTCTTTTGAAGAAAGACAAAAATTATTAAAGCAATGCGGTAGCTTGGGCACTACATAAAAACTGTGATATGGCCAATTTTAAAATCACACACTTCACAAAAAATAAAAACTTATCACCTGATCTTGTCCATGGAAAAGGGAGCTGCTTTTAATTTCCAAAACCAATAGTATACCAGAAGCAGACCTCCTTTCCCATGTTTATAGTGGAAATTAAAGCAGAAATGGTCATCAGTGAAATCCTTTTGAGCCTTATGATGCTGTCCCTCCCAATTATTTCATCCTTTTGAGCCTTATGATGCTAGCACATCACTTTTAACCCTAAAAGCCTTCCCATTCAATATTAATTAATAATATTCATACACGCCGCTTCCTTTACCACTCTCTTTGCATGCATTATGCACAAGCACTGTATCTGATCCTTAATATAAGAATTAGATAATTAATTTACGAATATTAAGAAAATTAGTTAAGTTAGTTATTTATAATAAATCGATATTGTTTTATCTAAAATACCATAATCAATCATATGCATTGAGATTACCCCTTGATAAAAATTCCTTAACATGTACAATTACCATAGGAATTACTTATGATGGGCAAAATAGATAAATATGAAGACAACATAAATTGAGATTTTATATTTATTACCAAATTAAATATCTAACTAGTTTTTATGTTAAATAGGTAGTGGAAATAGTATTTCATCATGTCAATACCATTCAGCTTACCAAGTTTCCACTCCAGCTCGCACTAATTAAGTACAAGGTTTTCGTATAGTCCTTGCAAGAGTTTTGCAATTTTGGGTTGCTGCTTTTCTATTCTTTTTCTCTTTCTGGAATCTCAGCTTTTAAAAGGATAAAAAAGGGAACAATTACTTGAATGGTAACGTAATCGTAGTGGAGGCTTTCCTGGGATTTAGAATCGTAGATGCATACGTAATGGTAAGAAAAGGTAGTGAATTACAGCTTTCACATCGTACTAAGATATATTTGTATGGCTTGTTGGGGTTCTTTCTCTTATATAGCTAAAAAGTTCCGGTTCCGGGGCTCATGGTGGCCGGCCGTTGGGATTCTCTGACGAACTTATACTGGCGAGTTTTGATTATAGCTTTCATCTTTGCGTCGTTGAGATCTCAGTCCATTTATAATGCTTGGTCATATATAGATTACGAGTTTTTTATTGGTGATAATTTTTATAATTTGGTTACGAGAAGAATAGATTGATTGAGTCAAATGAAAAGGAAAAACTGTACGTAGTTTAACCATAAAGCATGATAATTCATCTGAACCACAGAAAGTACGTAAGCTGCATATAGCGTACTCACGCCAACTTTTTGTTGGTTGGATCGGTGAGATTAGTTGTCACAAAAAACACAAGAAATATGGCTAAGACACCCAGAAACAGAAGCTAAAGAACCAAAACATGAAACATGACACACTTACAATTTAGTATGTGGTACACAGTCAAAGGAAAAGTGGCATCCATCTCACTGAAGCACCAAACACACACACACACAGCAAGTATGGCGGAAAGCATCTGATCAAAACCTTTGCCTCCTGCTCACGATTATGTCTTGGATATATAGGACTCTGTCTGTAACCTCTGTGCATGCCTGCGTTTGTGTGTTGCGTGTCTGCGTGTGCCAAGACATGTAACTTCACGTGTTGTAGTTTGTCCCTATAGTGCTATTTTGCTCCTTAACGTAAAAGGCTAATCCACCAGCCCAATGCAATTGTAGTGGTGAGTGGTGACCCAACCCTTTTTTTATCTCTGAATCTCAATAATATCAGAAATAAAAGTGGGTTTGAGTAGGAAATTCACTTTAAGCTCAAGTGGTTGGAGATAAAGAGGATAGTAAAGTGACGTTGAAATGGCAAGGAAAGGAGGACACAGTAAGGAAGAATCTTTTTTAAAGATTGTTGAGGTTGATCGAGAGGATGACTTGCATGCACATGCATGTCTGGCTAACTTGAAAGTGGTCTGGTCCATTTGACCATTTTCAGCTGAATCTTTGTCACTGATCATTATAACGACATCATATCGACATCTAGCTAGCTAGCTCAATCCATCCAAGTTCTGATATTTGGAATATATATCCTCTTTGGGTAAAGTGGCACGCACTGGAGGACTTTTAAGTTATGGAGGATCAAGTGTCAGCAGAACGAAAGTATGTGGATTAAGTGATGAGGACCATGCAAATCAACCCACACACACACACACACACATAAATATATCTCTAATGCGATTTAAGCTTTTAATTCAAACTTATAAATCAACATAAAGTGTCTAGCTTGCAAAGGCGGCCGATGAGAAATTTTGGATTCCCCACTCTAACACAATTTTTGCTGGTCATGGATCCCGTCAAAAGCTGAAGTTGATGGTAAAGATATAACTTTTAGTGTTATTTTTTAGTAGTTTTTTAAAGACGTATCTGCTATGAGGGACTGCGCTCATTATAAGCGTCACAGTTTAAAGATGTTAAAACACAAGCAATTATAAGAGGACACTAGACGAAGGATCCGACAAATTAAACAGTAACAATTTTTTTTTTTTGGTTGCCAAATTAAAGAGCTAAAGCCAAATCCTCTTCTATATAATTAACCAGCGAAAGGAAACCGAGAGTATCTCCCGGCTATACAGACCGAAAAGGCCCAAACTAGGTACACTATTCACCTCTACATGAAGAAACAGAATCTGTTTTGGATCCAATTCTTATTTCCCTCTTCTTTGTGGTCCTTTCAATAAGCTTCAGAGTGCAGAAAAACTTCACTTTCTGGTTGCATTACTGGGTACGTATATTTTCCATCTCACATGGCGGGTGGGCAGAGATCCCAGAGGTTCAACAAGTCGTGCATACTCCTCATAGGTAAACCACACTCTGATGTTTACTTTCTCATTTTCCAACCGTATTACACTTAAATTTGCTCATCATGAACGAGAAAAGAGAACAATTTCCCTTAATTAAATGCATGATTCTGTCAAAAGGTTCAAGATTATTGATTCATCCTTGGACTATTGTTGTATCAATAATGGTTCTGAACAGCTCCACTACAAAGGGAAGGATTGCTTGTTCCTTTGAATACCAGACAAGGGCTAATCAGAAATATGAGCGATATGCATGCATTAATTCCAATTTTCTACTGGCCTTCTGTTTCTGTATATATTAGAAATATAACTTGTGGTTGTTCGTGTGTATATATGTGTGTATATGTGTGTGCATATGTATATGACAGTTATTGCTGGGATCGAGAGGTTTGCGTTCAAGGGGGTGGCATCAAATTTAGTGACATATCTGACAGATGTGGTGAAGATGAGCAACTCATCAGCAGCGAAGATGGTGAACAGTTGGTGTGGATTCACCTCCATAATGCCACTTCTTGTAGCTCCCATTTCTGACGCTTACTGCCACAAATACTCCACCATCATGCTCTCCTCTTTCCTTTATGTTACCGTAAGTTATTCTCTCCAAGATTTTTTTTTTTTAAAGAATACAAATTATACACATTGACGGTTTCCTTGAATGGTTTACTTTTGAAAGTGACGCAAAAAGCGAGAATGTGCGTAAAATCAACCTTGATATACCTTCTCTTTTGAAATTCTACAAGAACTTTACAGTATTAGTCCTACAAGATTCAGATTCATAATCTTTTTCTTCTTCTATGTCTGGCCGGCCCTTTTTGTTGTTTAATTAGACGTGGCTGGTAATTTTGTCGTTTTTTTGTATTTTTAGATGAAGATGGTTCATGAAGGTAGGGGAGTCTGAGTCATAATGCTTTACAAACCTTTTTCTCTTTCACTTTATAATAATATCAGCGTGCTTTACAACTTTCATAATTACGTAGTCCAATTTTTATAACTTCAAATTGCCACAAAAAAGAAATAGACATATACTTAAAAATATTTGAAATACCATTAAAAGTTGGCCCAATTGATAGGGATTCAACTTATACTCCATAAGTGCATGAATTCAACCCACTATTAGCATCAGAAACTCTTCAATGATGCACGTAGCATTTCCATCGTATTCAATTCACATAAGCTTATTGACCCACAAAGGTAAACTCACATGAGCTTTTATTTTTATATTACCCAACACACACACACACACACACGTGCTTTGTTGGCTTTGAACGTCATGGTTTGTGACCAATTACTACCATCGCTTTTCCGCAGAGTTGGATTTATGCAATAATTGTTATGCCTAAAGAAAGTTGGGGTAATGATATGCAGCTAATTCGTGGAACTGATTAATACAAGAGATATAATTAGTTTCACTTTTGAATTTGTTGTTGTCTATGATAATGATGGCCACCTCGCTAGGGTTAGATCAAGCAGCAAGAGTAGAGTGAGGTGAAATAGAAATCAAGAGTTTAAACCTTTCTGATATAACGATATATAATAATAATCTTCTTTTATGGACCGTTAAAATTAAGTTTAACTGAAAATAATAAAAAAAAAGTATAAACACATAGTTTTATGTTCCTTTCAAACTATTGGAGGACATTATTACATTCAAGTACCTGATGAGATAGATGCAACAGGATGGCAATTTTGTTAATTTCCTGGCGCGCGCACACATATACATGCTTCCATGGTGTCAACTTTTGGTCATGCGGAAGTAGCCTTTCTCACTAAAAGAATGTCATAGGAGCTTTATATATGAAGCTTTTCCTTAACCGTAATTGAGTCTGAATTACCAGCTCATCTAAACTTACGTCAACATTTTTCATTTTGTCTCTGCATGGATCCTCGTACGTACCCAGGGACTTGCAGCATTGACAATAACAGCATTAGGAAGGACAAGGGCTAACCGACACAGGACAATAATGCCATCTTCGTTTCTCACTTTGTCTCTCTACTTAATTTCATTGGGACAAGGTGGATATAACCCCTCTCTGCAAGCATTCGGAGCAGACCAGCTGGATGAGGAGGAAGAGCTACCATGTAGCAAGGACGATGAAAATTCCAACAAGAAGACACTGTTCTTCCAATGGTGGTACTTTGGCGTATGTGGCGGAAGCCTATTGGGCGTCACCATCATGTCCTACATCCAAGACACGTTTGGCTGGGTTCTAGGTTTCGCCATCCCTGCCATCTCAATGGGTCTCTCTATTCTGATTTTTTCAGGTGGAAGCCCTATCTATTTGTTCAAACAAGACAAACATTCCAAAGCTAGGAAACCCTTCATCAACGTGGTTCATACTGTCAAAGCTTCTGTTCTCAAATGCTTCCGTTGTGGAACCACCCTACCTATTGACAAGTCTGAAGTGTCTGAGCTCGAGTAAGTCACCTCTTCCATATTAGGGATATCATTATACTTTTGGTCCTTTGGAAAGTTATATGTTTACTGTAACTTGCTCAAGTTAACTGTTAAATTTATTGTGACAGGATGCAGGAGAAGTCTCTGTGTCAAGAAAACATGGACAACCTCATAAACATGAACGACAACATTCCCAAAAGGAGGATGGTTTCAAATGTGAAGGTTGTGCTTCGGCTTTTGCCTATATGGACTATGCTTCTGATGTTCGCAGTTATATTCCAACAGCCTGCCACGTTCTTCACAAAACAAGGAATGACGATGAAAAGAAATATCGGAGGAAAGTTCAAGATCCCACCAGCCACACTTCAAAGTGCCATCACGCTCTCCATAATCCTACTAATGCCATTATACAACAAAGTCTTCATCCCACTGGCCCAGATCATCACTCGCCAGGACAAAGGCATAAGCGTAATGCAAAGGATGGGAATAGGAATGGTGCTTTCGATCATAGCCATGATTATTGCAGCTCTGGTCGAAAGGAAGAGGCTTGAAATTGGGAAAGAAATGAGAACTGAAACGGTGCCGTTGAGCATATTCTGGCTGCTTCCACAGTACATTCTTCTGGGGATTTCAGACATTTTCACTGTGGTGGGAATGCAGGAGTTCTTTTATAGTGAAGTTCCAATGGCCATGAGAACGATGGGGATTGCACTGTACACAAGTGTTTTTGGGGTTGGAAGCTTCGTCAGTGCACTGTTGATCACGCTTGTGGAAGTATTTGCGAAGTCAAGAGGAAAACCTAGTTGGTTCTCTGATGATATGAATGAGGCACGCTTGGACAATTATTATTGGCTTCTTGCCTTGCTGAGTGGGGCCAGCTTGATAGTTTACGTGCTGTTGTGTATATCTTACCAACACAACAAGAGTGAGTCACAGAATGAACAGTGAGTCTGATCTCTTCTCTGATGTTTTATTTTTGGCTCCTCATAATTTGGCAACCTACGTAGTTGACTTGATTTCTAATGATAGTGATGTACATATATATATGTGTGTGTGTATGCTTTCTGTCTACTTCTGTCCCTAACTCCTAATTTTCTATTTTCTCTGCTATTATGGAATGTGGAATAAGTTCCAAAAACAAAATCCAAGCGGAAAAATCCAGAAACATGGAGAGACTTTTTAGAGCTATTTTTCTCCCTCCCTTCATAAGTGGGTTTTTACATCTCACCTCTTGTGTAATTATTCTCAATAATTTATTACTATTGATCCTATAATTTCTTTCTGTATCCACATTTCTCTAGAGGTTGATTCTTATCAGGCTGAAACCTACAAGGTAAAATTTAAATTGCTTAAAGCTTTCTTTTTGGCTAGAAAGATTGTCTTGGAAGGAAGAATCATCATGCTGCCATTTGGGATCTCCGGAAGGCAGATGAAATGCATTCACGTTGATAATCAACGACCGAGAGATGTCTACAATTTAGGAACAATATAATAAAATCTTACTCAGCGAGTGATGTGAAAGGCATTAAACAATCCCAATAATTGACAGGGCACAATAAAGAATATTATACGGAGGAAGCGTTATGGCCAACAAACAGCTACCTGTGGACATTAAAATATCTCCTACCATCTAACGCCATAGCGGAAAAACTAACCAATCCCATGTCCCAAACCATATATGCAATGCAAATGTAAATATTTTTATATTGCAGCCACAAATGTATCAAAGAATTTATTAAAAAAAGCTTATGAAATCACTTTTTGCTTCTCTTCGGTTTTTCTTGCCCTCACTTTTTAGAGTTCAATCAATAGTTCACACTTGACATGAACCATCCATCGAGGCAAAAGAAAAAAGTTTACTTTGTGTTTTGATTCAAGTGATATATATTCCAACAGTGAAATAAGTAGCTGGGATTTGAGTAATAATATCCCGAGATTTGAGCAACACTCAAAAGTAATATCCGTGCCAAGGCACAAGATAAAGCTAATGCTATATAATAGTCTGTAAAAGTACTACATAAAAAGTCTGGCCGTGCATTCCAAGATGAAGGAGCACAGCACAGAATAGAGAAGATACCATAGAATTTCATACAACAAAATCACGACAGCAGGGGACGGGCCACATTCCTATGGCATAAACCACAATGGAAGACGAAGGAAACGAACTGGCAGGTGCGGTTGATATTCACAGATAGTTTACTTGATTCAGAGGAGGTAGTGTTCTACTATACATAGAAATCCTCTGTACTCTTTATTTAAAACAAAATCCACACCAATGGTTCTTTTCAGCACTGTCGATGGTGAACTCTGGGAAGAGAAAGACTTGTGGCATTAACATTAGGAGCGGTAAAAACATGGCGCGCACCTAGCCCACCTGAACAGCTTCATATAGTGCCTCTTCTTGCTTTTTTCAGGAGATCCAGCTAACTCTGACTCGTTTCTTTTCAGCATTTCCCACATAACATGTATATCATGATATTCAGAAGCCTCCACTTCATTTCGTATCTTCAGTAATCCTGGACATTTTTCCAGAGACCATCTCTAATATCAATTGCCTGCAACTTTTTCTAATTGTACAGAACAAAATACTAAAGTGTCTATGACCATGAAAAAACAACAGAAATCAGTAATACAACTCTTATCTGTTGTTCTGTTTAAAAATATACCCAAAAAACTGTCATATTATTATGTTTCGGCCGTCTGTAACTTTAGACTCCTGGTTAACTTCTCAACTTCCCCAAAATTAAAGGCAGTACCTAATGGTCGTTCTGCTTCAGCTTCTTTACGGGTCTGTAATGAAAACAACGGAAACTTGAAGAGCATATAACAAATTAACATCGTCATAAATTAACTTCCAGCAAGGTTCATATGGTTCCAAGCGAGTAACAAGCATCAGAAACAGCCTCTTGACAATCCAATTCCTTTCTCTCAAAAAAGTACACAATCAAATCATGATGGTTCCTCCCCATCGATATGAAAAAAGTCAGAAAATTACCACACCCTCCCTCCACCAATAATTTTCCAAATTATTCAGCTATCATCTCTTCTTCTCCCTCCAATATACACAAATAATGACAGCAGTAACTCAAAAAGGAGAGCATGCTCCATGTGCCCAGAGATATTTGCTTCCTCACCCAGAAAAGTCATGAAACACAGTCAAATGACTTCTCACAAACATGTTTGAAAGCACTATTACAGCTATAATTACAACTAAACGACGTCAAAACCTTAACCAAAGCCAATGCTGTAAATCAGTTACCATCTAGCTAATTATCAAACAAAATTCCCGGAAACATCAACAAGACGAGAGAAGGCAGAGGCAGCAAAGCATCATGAACTCATGAGCTGCAAATTAGCATTAAAAGACAAAAATATATATATCCGAAGGAGAAGAGAAGGAGCTTACCGGTTTTCCGAATGCCGAGGCGAGTGGCGACTTTGATCCAAACACTACGCATCGGGTAAACGAGCTTATCCCACCACTCCATCTGCAGCAGAAGGAGGAGACGCACGCGCAGACCGAGATCACCCTCCTTCACCACGATTTCAGAATGTTCAAGCCCGTAGCCCCTCCCCTATATTCCGAAGAAGATTTAAAAAGAAAAGCACAATTTAAATAAGCGGCGGAAGAAGAAAGAGTAGTTTCATTCCATCAACAGAATTGTGACAATTCAACGAAAAGGAAAAAAAACGCAAGGAACAGATTGACAAAGGTGAAGTAACTAACTGCGTGAAAACTCGTTAGCGCTCTGTCGGTATTCTCCTCGGAAGAGAAATGACTGAAGAATGTGGATCGTAAAGGAAGCCAGGGCTCAACAACGAATGCCACGTGTCGGACTCACAGGATTCTATGGTCAGGTCGTAATCGCGTCGGTTAGAACGTCCCGTGTCGTGATCATGTGATCGGGCTGTGCACGTCGTGCCTTCTTCCGGCTACGTGGAGATTCACTATTGGTTATTTATTGGAGAATTTATTAGGTCGTCCAGTTTCACGTGCGATTGTAATTTTATTAAGGGAAAATTTCATTTAAGGACCATAGAAGAGAATTTATATCCGTCAACCCTTAAAATATTCTGAAATATCATTACAGGATTAAGGGACTAAACTGAAATTAAAATTAAGAGTAAGGTTACAATAATACCTCTTACTTTTATTTTAAAAAAATAAATATTAATGGACGCAACTGTTCCGGCTACCGACGTTCGGGTAGTCGTTGTCGGAGGTTGGATCTCTAGTAGCCGTTACTGTAGCTCCGATGGCCGGAATTTTTTTTTTTTTTTAAAAACAAGGTGGCCAAGGGAAGGTTTGAACCTGTGACACTTTAACACACCAAAAGTAATATAACCACCAAGCCAAGCAAGCTATTAAATTATGCAATGCAAATAAAAATATATATAACAAAACAAACATAACTGTCCACGTATAAGTGAATAAGTGAAATTAGACTATTTACAAGTGAAATTAAGTAATTTTCAACAAAAATTAGGCAATTTACAAATAACATAATAAAATTCACAACCTCAAATGCAAGTATTTAAGTGCAAATAAGTGAGTAAAATTTAAAGATTTACAACAAAAGCTCATGGATTTACAACCCAAATTTGGCTATTCACATAAACACAAGAGAATTTAACCCAAAATATAAGTGTTTGAGTGTAAATAAACAAGTGAAATTCAGCAATTTATAAATAACATAATGGAATTCACAACCCCAAATGCAAGTATGCAAGTGTAAATGAGCAAGTGAAATTTAAAGATTTACAACAAAAGTTTATGGATTTACTAGTGAAATTGGATAATTTCACTTATTCATTTACACTTAAATACTTGTATTTGGGATTGTGAACTCCATTATATTATCTGTAAATTACCTAATTTTTGTTGTAAATTGCTGAATTTCACTTGTAAATCGTTGAATTTTATTTGTAAATTGTCAAATTTTACTTGTAAATTCATAAACTTTTGTTATAAATTTTCAAATTTCACTTGCTCATTTACACTTAAACAATTGCACTTGGGGTTGTGAATTCTATTATGTTATTTGTAAATTACCAAATTTTTGGTGTAAATTACTGAATTTCACTTGTAAATTGTCGAATTTCATTTATTCACTTTCGCTTAAATATTTACATTTTAGGTTGTGAATTCTCTTGTGTTTCTTGTGAATAACCAAATTTGGGTTGTAAATCTATAAACTTTTATTGTAAATCTTCAAATTTCACTTACTCATTTGCACTTAAACACTTGCATTTGGGGTTGTGAATTTTATTATGTTATTTGTAAATTGCCTAATTTTTGTTGTAAATTACTGAATTTTACTTGTAAATAATCTAATTTTATTTGTTCACTTATACTTGGATAGTTGCGTTTGTTTTGTTATATATATTTTTATTTGCATCATTTGATTAAATGGCTTGCTTGGCTTGGTGGTTATATCACTTTTGGTGTGCCAAGAGGTCATGGGTTTAAACTTTCCCCTGGCCACCTTGTTTAGAAAAAAAAATTCCGGCCACCAAAGCTGTAGTAACGGCCATCGGAGGTCTAACCTCCAGTAGCGGCCACCTGAGCGCCGGTGGTCGAACCTCTAACCTCTGGTAGCCAGAACAGTTGTGTCCATTAATATTTATTTTTTTAAAAAATAAAAGTGAGGGGTATTATTATAATCTTACTCTTAGTTTTAATTTCAATTTAGTTCATTGGTCCTGTAGTGATATTTCAAAATATTTTAGAGGATAACTGATATAAACTCTCTTTTGCGGTTTTTAAATGAAATTTTCCTTTTTATTAATCAAAATATCCAGAGACAGCAATTTCATATCATTGGTCCAAAGTTCTCATACCAATATGTGTTTAATATAATTCACTTGTCTTCCGGCCAATATATGCATATAGTATACATATAATTCGCTTGTCACGCATTTTTGTATATTGAATTGGTAAGATTTTTTAATTTTACTCTCATTAAAACTTTTCTCTCTCTGCATAAATAAAATATTTTCATGCCTCACTCTTTTTTTCTTTCTTTTCAGTAAATAAATTTTAAAAATAATTATCAATGTTATAAATGACTTATATTTAGGGTTAAAATTTCTTTTACAAATAACTTATATTTAATACCAGAGTTACATCAATATCCTATTTGGAGCATGTTTCCGCTCTTATCATCAGTTATTAATTATCAATGACGTGGCTTGTCTCTCTTTAGCTAAAATATAAAGCGCTTTATAAATTTAAAAAAATATATAAAAACACCACTTTTCATTTTCAAGTGCTATAAAATCATTAAAAAAAATTCAAATTTTTATAAATTATATTGGTATCATGAATTGAAATAAAAATTAATTATTGTAATATCATTTATATTTAAATATAAGAGCAAGAATAATAATTTTTAAGCTGTTGTTGACTGTAAAATTAACCCAAATGGCCAAGAAATTATTCAAAGCAACGTTTTAGCCCCTCTTATAGTCGTTAATTAATTAGTTATTAAAGGCTTGCTTGTTCGAATCATAAGAAGGGACATGTTAACTTGTTAATTGTTATTTTAATTTTGAAAAATTGCATTTAATTATTTTTAAAACTTACTCCTTCTATTTTCATATCTAGATTTTTTGGGGCATCTACCAATCTGCCAATTAACTAACAATACAAAGTTAATATGTCTGGGTAAAATATACGTTTGATTCTCTAAGTTTAACTCAAGTTTTAATCCAGCCTTTTATGTTTATAAAATATATTTTAGTATAAAGTATATTTTCAGTTCTTTAATTTCATTACGAGAATTAGAGAGAAGGATCAATAAGGAGTGATATTTATGGGAGAGGATTATAAAAATTAAAATTATTCAAAAAGACCAAATATTTAAATGTAAATTTAAAAATATCATATTATCTCTATCCAAACTTCCTACATTTTCTCCTACACTGCCTTCTACATTTTATTTTAAAATAATGAGTTAATAAATTTCATTAAATTAAACCTGATTTCTCTTAAAGTTTACAACCTGTGTAAAAATCAATTAAAAAAAATGCAAACATTGTCAGTGATGTAAAAATAATATTTTATTTTATTAAAAAATTAAAATTTATTTTTAAAGCCATCACAGAATATTTATAGCAGGTTTCTCCTGGAGGCATTTTGACGTTCATATATAGCATGTTCTCTCTGTAGCTTTCATTCTTCTATATTATTGAACTCAATAATAATCTTTTTAATATTGGAGAAGAGTATATCTTATGTTAGCAAGGAGCAGTAAGGGGGTTAGCGGAAATGGCTGAAGCCATGTTTGCCGATGTGGGACATTTCTCCGTTGTGCTCCGTTGTTTACCCTTCTCTCGTGATAGCCTACGCTGGTCAAGCCTCTTATCTTCGCAAACATCTAGAAAATGTTGCTGACACCTTCTGCAAGAACATACCAGGTAATTAACTCTGAGTTTAACCAACCGTATATATACAACTCCATTATTCTAACCCCGATTCAACACAAAAGTCACTGCTGTGTTATACCGAATACAAATTATTGCGTAATTTGTGAATGTTTTGCAGATCCGTTGTATTGGCCAATGTTTGTAATTGCTATTTTGGCAGCAACCATGGCTTCCCAAGCTTTAATATCTGGAACTTTCTCTATAATCCAACAAGCTCTTTCACTGGGATGTTTTCCTTGCGTGAAGATTGTTCCCACATCAGCCAAGCATGAAGGAAGGACAATTTTACATCCCTGTAATCAACTACATCCTCGTGATCCTATGTGAAATTTTCTCGCCTGTGTTCAAATCCACCACAGTAATTGGCAATGCCTATGGTGACCCCTGCTTTTCCCCAGCTACTCATATCCTTTAATCTTCTTTCACAATCTGAGCATCCTTCAATGCATGTGGTGAAGTTAGTTATTTCGTTTCTTTCATGCATATATATGGGGATCGCCATGGTACTAGTAATATCGCTTACCTCGGCCACGCTAGTGATAGTCATGCTAATGATATGGAAGGCCAGCATGTTTTACATCATCTGCTACATAGTTATCATTGGCTTTGTGAAGCTTATCTATTTAAGTTCAGTACTGTACAAATTCGATCAAGGAGGGCATCTTCCTCTTTGCTTTCCACCCTTCCTGGTTGTGATGGCCATCATGGACGTTTGGAACGATGTTGATCGACAGAAATACTATTACGAGATGAACCAAAAGATTTGTCCAGAAAGAGTGAAGAGCATTGTAAACTGAAGGGACTAACCTGTGTCGAATCCCTGGGTTAGCCATGTTCTGCTCAGAGCTGTTGAAGGCATCCCATCAATCTTCAAGCATTGCGAGACGAACGTTCCAGCAATGCACTCAGTGCTCGTGTTCTTATGCATCAAACTTACCCATCAGTAAAGTTGCAGTAGAAGAGAGGTTTCTGTTTAGCTGTGTGGATACAAAAGAACTGAACATATTTCGCTGCATTGCGAGACATGGATACAGAGATATAAGCAATGAGAAAGAGCCATTTGAGAAGGTTATAGCAGAGAAAGCAGAAGGAATTCATTACAGGAGAAGCAGTGGAGAAACCAGAGGACGGGACGAGCGAGGGGGATGAGAAGGTTGATGAGGCAATTAAGCAGGGATAGTTCACTTTGTAGGGGAGACAGATGTGATAGCGAGCAAAGGATCTCATTTAGGGAAGAGGATTATGATAGATTATGCTTATAGTTTCTTGACAAAAAATCTGAGAAACCACTAAGGTCTTCGATATTCCACACCAGCTCATG